CCGCACTCCTTCCCTCCCCCCTCCCCCGGACTTCCTTGTACCGGTTCCCCCCCCGGTAGACCCCCTCCCCCCTCAGGTTCCTGCCCCCTCAGGTGTGTCCCAGGTAGACGCCGTTGACCCGGTCGAGGTTACTGGTGACTCTGGTGCTGCTGCGGGTGCTGAGCCTGGGGGTGCTGACTCTGGGGGTACTGTGCGCGGGGGTGCTGTGCCTGGAAGTGCTACTGCTGGGGGTGCTGGGTCTGAGGGTGCTACTGCGGTGGGTGCGGAGCCTGGGGGTGCTGAGCCGGGGGGTGCTGTGCCTGGAGGTGCTGGGTCTGGGGGTGCTGGGTCGGGAGCTGCTGAGCCTGGGGGTGCTGAGCTGGGAGCTGCTGAGCCTGGGGGTGCTGCGTCTGGAGCTGCTGAGCCTGGGGTTTCTCCTGCTGCTGCGTCTCGCCGGGAGCCCCTCTCTCCACAGGAGCTGCGCAAGTGGTTCGCTCGCCGCTGGAGGCGTGCTGCTGAGTCTGGAGGTGCTGCTGGTGCTGGAGCTGGAGCTTCTTCGACCGTCGAGGGTGCGGGTGCTGCCGGTCCCGGAGCTGCTGGACCTGCGGGTCCTCCTGGAGCTGGAGCTGCTGAGGGCGTTCGTGCTGAGCCTGCTGCTGTTGGTCCTGCCGCTGGAGGTGTGGGTGGCGCTGGTGCTGTCGCTGAGGGTGCTGGTGCTGTCCCTACTGAGACTGGAGCTGCCGCGCGGCCTCGGCCGTACTTCGTTCCGCTCCTTCAGCAGGTTCTTGGTCTTTCTCCTCCAGTAGAGGGTCCACCGCCTGTCCAGTCGCAGTCCCTACTGGAGCCTTCCTCTCCACTGCCTGCTCCCTCTCCTTACACTGGTCCTACTGGAGGTCTTGCTGAGCGTCGTGAGCCTGCGTCTCGCCCCGCGTCGCCTGTTCGTGCTACTCGCGCTAGTGGTCGCAGTTCGCGTCAGCGTCCTCCTCCTGTCCCTGGCACGCACCGGATGTCTCTGCGTCCGTCCACTGCTCCTCTGCGTGCCCCTTTGCCTTCTCCTCCTGAGTCCTCTCTTCCTGCGCTTGCCGACCCTGAGTCGGACTCTCTTCGTGCTGCGAGTCCTACTGTCACGCGTCTGCTTGCTACTCTCGTCACTGACCCCTCTTTTGAGTCCACTGCTGCGTCTGCTCTAGTCGCTGAGCTCGTCGACTTTGCTGCTCGCTGTCGTCTCGACTACGCTGCTAGTCTTGTTGCTGAGTCTGCGTCTGTCTGTCCTCCGTCCGTCGGGGGTGAGTGTGCTCTTGGCACGGACGTCCTAGAGGACAGGCAGGAGGAGTTACAGTGTCTAGCGGCTGCTTCACCTCATCTCGCGTCTGTACTGCTTGCCCCTAAGGGAGACCCGGATGCACTAGACATCCCGACTCCGCGTTCTTACGCGGAGGCCGTAGAGGGTCCCTACTCCTCTCAGTGGCAGGCAGCTATGGATGCAGAGATGGCTTCCTGGAAGTCCACAGGCACCTACGTTGACGCGGTTCCCCCTCCCGGGGCGAACATCGTCAGTGGCATGTGGATCTTCAGGGTGAAGCGGCCGCCGGGCTCTCCACCTGTCTTCAAGGCACGGTACGTCGCTCGTGGCTTCAGTCAGCGGCAGGGAGTTGACTACTTTCAGACCTTCTCTCCCACCCCGAAGATGACTACTCTTCGGGTGCTGCTACACATAGCTGCTCAGCGCGACTACGAGCTTCACTCTCTCGACTTCAGCACTGCGTTCTTGCAGGGTAGCCTGCACGAGGAGATCTGGCTTCGCCGTCCACCTGGCTTCACTGGGACTTTCCCTCCTGGCACCCAGTGGAGCCTCCGACGGCCAGTCTACGGTCTCCGCCAGGCACCGCGTGAGTGGCACGACACACTGAGGACTACGCTTGCGGCTCTTGGGTTTGCTCCTTCTACTGCTGACCCGTCGCTGTTTCTTCGCACCGACACTTCCCTGCCGCCGTTCTACATCCTCGTGTACGTCGACGACTTGGTCTTTGCCACAGCGAACACTGCTGGACTCGCCTACGTGAAGTCCGAGCTGCTGAAGAGACACACGTGCACAGACCTGGGTGAACTGCGCAGCTACCTTGGCTTGCAGATCACTCGGGACAGAGCACGCCGCACCATTACCTTGACTCAGTCACACATGGTGCAGCAGGTCCTTCAGCGCTTCGGCTTCACGTACTCCTCGCCTCAGGCCACTCCTCTGCCTACTCGTCACTCACTCTCAGCTCTGCCTTCGGATGAGTCCGTAGAGTCGAGTGGTCCGTATGCAGAGCTTGTTGGCTGCCTCATGTACCTGATGACCTGCACACGACCTGACCTTGCATACCCTCTGAGCATTCTTGCGCGCTATGTTGCTCCTGGGAGACACAGACCGGAGCACATGGCTGCAGCGAAGAGGGTATTGCGCTACCTGTGCAGTACGTCAGGCATGGGGCTAGTGCTTGGAGGGCGGAGTCCAGTGGTCCTTACCGGCCACGCGGACGCTTCTTGGGCTGACGACCAGGCTACGCAGCGGTCGTCACAGGGTTACACCTTCAGCCTTGGTTCCGGCTCTGTCTCGTGGCGGTCTACTCGCTCGTCTTCGGTTCTCGGCTCCAGTTGTGAGGCTGAGATCTACGCCGGAGCCATGGCTGCACAGGAGCTTCGCTGGCTCACCTACCTGCTGACTGACCTTGGAGAGCCGCCTCGTTCTCCTCTAGTGCTGTACGTAGACAACAAGGCTATGCTGGCCTTGTGTCGAGAGCAGCGCTTGGAGCACAGAACGAAGCACATTGCTCTCCGCTACTTCCTTGCTCGTGAGTTGCAGCAGCGTGGTCAGTTGCGACTTGCGTACGTGGCCTCTGAGGCCAACACTGCTGATGTGTTCACCAAGGCACTTGCGCCTTGTGACCATCAGCGCTTCTGCACCCAGCTTGGTCTTGTGCCTGTCTTGCCTCACTTGCTCTCCTCTTGAGTTTACTTGTACTGTGACATATATATATACCTGCTCTTGCTTGTCTAGTTTTATATACATATGTCTGTACTCTTGCTTGTGAACTGGCCTTTGGCCTTGCTCTTGTGCTCGGACTGTGTGGTGACTTTGTGATCCACCCTGAGCTTTGCTTTGTCTTGCTTGACTGGTCTTGTGACCCCTTGTTCTCCCCCACTTTGCCTATGGGGGTGTGTCAGAACATATCTATAGCTTATACTGCTGTGTAGGCTGTAGTGGGGTATCCCATAGGGGGTACAACCCAGTTAGGGTTTCATATTTGTACTGCTTTCATTCATAGTTCATTCCATTCCTGCTTACTCATTTCCACAATGGCTGCACAGGAGCTTCGCTGGCTCACCTACCGGCTGACTGACCTAGGAGAGCCGCCTCGTTCTCCTCCAGTGCTGTACGTAGACAACAAGGCCATGCTGGCCTTGTGTCGAGAGCAGCGACTGGAGCACAGAACAAAGCACATTGCTCTTCGCTACTTCCTTGCTCGTGAGCTACAGCAGCGTGGTCAGCTGCGTCTTGCGTACGTGGCCTCTGAGGCCAACACTGCTGATATCTTCACCTAGGCACTCGTGCCTTGTGATCATCAGCGCTTATGTACTCAGCTGGGTCTTGTGCTTGCCTTGCCTCACTTGCTCACCTCTTGACCTTGCTTGTACTGTTACATATATATCTACGCCTGCTTTTGCTTTTCTAGCCTTTTATATATATATGTACTCTTGCATGTGAACTGGCCTTGTGGCCTTGAACTTGTGCTCGGAATGTGTGGTGACGTTGTGATCCACCCTGAGCTTGTTTTGCTTTGCTTTGCTTGACTGGTCTTGTGACCCCTTGTTCTCCCCCAGTTTCCCTATGGGGGTGTGTCAGAACATTATAACTTATGCATTTGTGTAGGCTGTAGTGGGGTAGCCCATAAGGGGTACAACCCAATTAGGGTTAGTACTTGTACCCAACTCTTTCATAGTTCATTCATCCTCGTTCTAGTTTTCTCACTAACCACAGCTAAGTGAAGCACGCAGTATCGAGAATGAACGCGAAGAGTCAGAATTGACTCGAAGCGACACAGACAGTTGGAATGGATCTGGACCGTCAGAGCAGATGACGTCGGACAGCTGCTGGAGCGGAATTGGCGGGAACAGTTTGGTAAATATACGCACTGTACGGTTGGGTTTGAATTTGAATAAGAGAATATACCCCTTAGGGTGTGTTTCTACGCTCTTATCAGGCAAACCTCTTGTCAGCCTTGCCTGGTAAAAGTAGCGAGGGTTTTCGGGTTTAGGGAATTTTCAGGGGTAAAATTAGCGAGCTTGATAAGAGGTAGCCCTGATAAGGGGCCGTAGGAACACGCCCTTAGAGTACATGGCTAGCTAGGTCGTTTTGTATTCCCTTGTACTACTACTTTTATGCTTGTATTTGCATGTTTTTATGATCTTAAACATTTTACATTCACTCTGTTTGAGGGCCCACCACTACCAAACAGCTGCGTGCGAACCTTCCCGAGGTGATCCTAGGATCGATCAAATTTTGATCGTAGCAGTTCCCAGTTTTCAGTTACCATTCCCATGAAACTAGCTACCAAACGCGCGATAAAAAATTCAAATGGTTAATGTATACAATTGATTTCTTTTAGAGCCTACAGACCAAACCAGCAATTCAAGCGGTCAACGCTCTGCACCTTACTAGAACACAGTAAGAGGGGGATCTACCGTGTATATTCCCTAAGCTTATGTGGAGTACATTTGTTATCGTTAACTGCCACGTCGCTCGTTATGGTACTTGTGATTGTCAACTCCTGTAAGGGCACTCTAAGCTAATTTCGTTGAAGCTTTTTCATAGATTGGCAGTTACTACGTACCCTGGTCTTAGTTATATCGCTGCCACAGCGGGCCAGTCGCGGATCGCCGTTGCGTATGCGGCAACGGCAGGGACGGGGGGCGGCGGCGGCGGCTGAGGATTGCTGGCCTGTTTGCGAAAGCGGGTGCGACCGGGCGGTTTTTATCGGATGTCGGCTCGAGTGTTTTTTTCGCCATGTCGCTCCGCCACACTCACTCGCCGTCCTCTCGCCAGTAATCCGTCGACAGCTCATGACGTGCTAACACATGGCGGATTAACGCTATTCGGCGAGTCGGCACGTGACGTGCACCCATGTGGTCATGGCAGGTCAAGAGAGAACGCTCCCCTTCACCCCACGCCGCTTCGCTGCTGCCGTTCTCTACATCTCTTACCATCTCCGTCTCACATCAAGCAATATGTCAGGAGATCGCACAGTTCGCACTCTCGGGAGGTTAGATTCTGCGAAAGCTTGACGACGGGTAACCAGAGGGCCAGGGTTGGGGTTTTCACCCACTCGCCGCAGATACCTACCCGCGCGGCGCTCCATGGCCGTCACATTGCCGCCGCTGACTGGTCGAGTAGAAGGAGGATTCGTGGCACCGACTGCTCTGCGGGTAACATTTACAGCAGAGGTGAAAGCGAGGCGGTAGACAGCAGTGGTCGACGGGGCAGCCATCGGTGGCGCGTGCGCGTGGCAGCGGGCAGCGCGGGGGGTAGCAGCGGCGATGACGGCGCGGGGAGAAGCCGCGGCTCAGACGGGGCCTCGCGCCCGTTGTCTGCTCCTGTGCCGCCGCTCGTTGTCCCCTCACCCGCAGCGGCGGCGGCGGCAGGGAGAGGGCAGCACGCCGCGGGCGCGGACAGGGACGATGGCAGCGCAACTCCCGGGAGGGGTGCCGCCGCCGCGTTGAACCAGGCAGAAACCGCTTCGGAACCTCCGCCGCACGGGGGCAGTACAACAGCGGCGGGAAGAGAGGGCGCAGGCGCGGATGCGCGCGCGGAGAGCGGGGACTGCATCGCGGACGAAGCCGCGGAGGCAGGTCCGGATATGGGCGCGGAGGCGGAGGGCGGAAGCAGCGCGCGGTTCCGCGAGACGCTGCAGATGGTGGAGACGGCGATGCTGGCGGCGACGTCGGGGCTGGCGTTCTTCCTGGCGAACTCGCTGCGCGTGGAGGGCTACCTCGGATTCTTCTTCCCGCTCCCCGCCGTCGTCGCCTCCATGCGCTGGGGCGCCACCGCCGGCCTGCGCACCGCGGTACGGGGGGGGGGGGGGATGGGGGGGGGGAAAGGGGGAGGGGAGGGAGGGGTGGGAGAGAAGGAGGGGCGAGATTGGGGTGAGAGGGGGACGAGGTGGGGGAATGGGAGTTGAAGGGGAATTGAAGATGGGGGGTTGGGAAAAGGATCAGCAGGGAAGTGGGGGTGGGGAGAGATGAGGAGAGTGTCGAACGGAAAGAGTGGGGGAAAGGAAAGAAGGGAGACTCGGGAGATTAAACGGGGGAGAGAGGGGGAGCTGAAGAGGGAGAGTGAGGGAGGGGAGGGAGGGAGAAGGGGAGGGGAAAGTGGATGAGAGAAAAGGGGAGCGAGATTAGGGGGAGGAGTGGGCGAGAAGTGGGAGGGGGGAGAGTGGACAGTCAAGGATATGGGATGGGAAAGGGGGGAATGGGAAGGAGGGGGCTCGGAAGAGGAGAGGAGGTAAACAGGGGGTGAATGAGAGGAGGTAAAGAGGGGGTGAATGAGAGGAGGGACTGGGATTGCAAGGGAGATGAATAGGCAGTGGAGGCATAGCATTGCAAGAAAGGCGTGAGTTTCTGGCATGAGAGCCGTGCCAAGCCACGTGTGTTGTGTGTCTTGCCCATGCATTGGCCCTCTTGTGACAGCATCCCAGCATGCTCTGCTCCTCCATGCCCATGCGCGCTCCCCCTTGCCTCGCCTTGCCCCCATCCCTCCCTCCTTCGCCTTCCTCTCCCTCTCTCCCCCGACCCCACCATCCAACTCACAAATTTCTTCTCCCCTCCCTTTCTCTCTCTCCCCCGCCCTCCTTTCCCGATGCCAACCTGCATGTTCCTCTCTCCCCTCCCGCTGGTTCACACAGATATCGGCAGCGTTTCTGCTGCTCGTCCTCGCTGGGCCCATCAAAGCAATCACCTTTCTCGTAAGCCCCTCACTCATTGGTGTCCTCACCTCACCATTCTCCTGCCACCCGTATGGGCCGTTTCTCCTCCTCTCTCTCGTGTGAACTGCCCACGTTCTCCACTAAACTGTTGTGAATTCCCCTTTTGCTTGTCTGAACACCTGTTTGTTCTCTTTACCCTCCCCTCCCCACTCACTCCGTTCTCCTCTCTCCGGCACTCCCTGCCTGCCTCACGTTTCCTCTTCACCCCTCTTTCTCTCGCTCACGTCCATCCCCTGCCCCTCTTCCCATTTGATTCGCCCCCCTTCTGCCATTCTCGTCTCAGCTGCTGCACGGCTTTCTTGGCTCCACGCTCGGTCTCTGCTGGGGGTGAGCGCTCTTATGTGCACGTGTGTGTGGCTTGCACGTTCATCGTTCACGCGATCGTGTGCTCCTTCGGTGTGTGTGTGGTAGCTATGAGCCGGTCTGTGTATCCTGGAATTGACTGAGCACCTGCCATCTCTGCTTATCTGATCTTAGATTCTGATCGCCTTACCGCTCACTGCAAGGCACTGTCCCTGCATGCTATGCTTCCTCTCTTCTCCCATCTTTCCTCAATGCCCTGCAAACCCCCCCCCCCCCCCTCTGCAGTCTCGGTTTGTCTTGGCCCATCTCCATCCTCGCCTGCACATTTGTAAGCCTGCGTCGCAACCCATCACCCTTCCACTCTCGTTCGCATCGCTCCTCCTCGCCAGCACTCTCTCTGCCCTGTGATTCTTCCCATGTGCCTGTGCGAGCCAACATGCCCAATTTGCAGCTGTGGTGATTCTGTGGCATTTGTACTTGTGCTGCTGGTATGCCCTTGGGTCGCCATCCTCTTTCCACCCAACCACTCCCTCCCTCTGCCGTCCCCGTCTCTCGTGCCGCAGGTGCGGGCAGCAGGCGCAGTGTCCTTTGTGCTGCTCTCCTCATGGCTCATTCGAGAAAACATTCTCAAACTGGTCTGTGCTGCACAGCCGCTCTCTTGCCAATCATCTTCCTCCTATCAGTTTGCATCTGTGTCCCAACGTACGTCCATGCACACCATGATGGCAAGCACCCACTCTGCTCTCCAATTCATGTCTCCTGTTTCCCCGTCTCCTCCCCTCCCTACCCCTTCTCCGCCAACTCGTTCATACCCGCCCTCTCCTCACCCCCCCCTGTACTCCGCCTGCCACCCATCTCTGTGCACCGCCTCGCAGATTCTCATGAACGTGCAGGCGTCGCTGTCGCATGTGTTTGCGGGCATCAGTGCCAGCCTCGTGCCCTCCTTCTCGCTCATCACCGTCATCTTCACCACCCTCGTGCGTGCCCCTCTCACTCCCTCACCCCGCCACTAAACCAAGTGCTTGCGGACCGGGGCATTGGGTTTAGCCACGGCTCCATGTGTCGTGTCAAGCTGACTTATCCGTGAGCCATGCTCTCCACGTCAACAAGTCTCCTTGCTGTGTCGCTATGTGGGAATTGTTTGTCAGGTGCATGATCTTGCTTTGTCCCTCCCAAACCCCTCCTGTTTTGGTTGTTTGTCCGTGTAAGTTTCTGAAAGGCTTCCTAATGCTCTTTTTTTTGTGACTTCCCCTCCACTCAACTTCCTCCTTTTCCCCTTTGCGGTCCCCTTCTCTTCCTTCCCCGCACGCGATGTGGTCGGTTGGACAAATCGCCCCACCAGTTGCTGTTCAACTCAGCATCCTTCTCGCTTCTCCTCCACATTCTTTACACACTTTTCCTGCGGCGACTTGGGATTGCAACACCAACACAGTTACCCAATTGGATGGAACGGTCACTGTAGCAGTGCAACGTAGTCACAGGAACCTGTGTTTTGAAGAATAACCTAGAGGGCACTAACCTTTCGAGGATTGGTATTTCGTTGTCAGAAGTGAGTCAGGCGCCCCTCAATATTAGAGCGTGTTCCTACAGGCCCCTATCAGGCCAGCCTCAAACACCAGAATTTCGGAAAAAACGCATTGTGTATTAGACGATTTGTGGAGTGCGCGACAAAATGCGTTTGGTGACGTGGCACTGCGCAACGGTCCCGAAAGGTTGCAAAAGAACAAATTGAGAAAGCTTGCTTTCTTTCTTATCAATTGGCATCGTTCTCATTACAAATGGCGTATTACAACATTTGCATCATCGTTCGACATAAGCTAGTGCGGACTAATAACACTAGCTATTATGTACCCTATCCAAGTGGCATTAGCAAGGCGGTTTACACTGGGGTGGGTGGTGGGAATGTTGAGTGAGCCGTTTGAAAATTGAGAAACGTGGGTGGAGGGAAATGAGCTCCAACCCACGGTTTTTGTAGTTGGATAAGGGCGTTTAGCGCGCTTCGACGATGCCAATTGTGCAGTACAAGCAGCTTCGCTTTCACAATACACAATTTTAAAAAACACTACATGTGTGTTTAAAAATTATAATATTGAGAAAGCTTGCTTTCTTTCTTATCAATTGGCATCGTTCTCATTACAAATGGGGTCTCTGAGACATGGGCAGCGGGGGCCTCCGGTTGCGTACGAGTGCCTCTGTGTGTTGCGCCGATGACACCGCATGCGTCGAATCTTGTAGGGTACGGGAGGCTTCGATGAGGGGCTCGACGTATGGCGTAACATACATTTCATTTGCTGTGTCGCTTCGCCATCTGCCCAGCCGTTTGAAGACTCTGTCTGGCACTCCCGTGTTGGCTGCTACTGTGGCTGCACCTTTTCGGAAAGAATGGGTGCCTAGCTGCAACTCTCCAAGGCCAACCTTTGCGAAGGCTTCCTTGCACCAGTTCCGGATCGTAGTGTATGAAGGTGGCCTAGCCTGGCCCTCGCTGGTTGAACCGTGACCGAAGACACGAATCAATGGTCCCTCTAACCGTGGGCCATAGCCAGCGAGTCGGATGAAGCGTCGGGTGCAGCGCACTGGGCAGCAGGGGTCCGCCGTTGCTGCAATGGGTATCCAAGTGCCGTGACCAGCGTGATCGGTCTTGGAGTGTGGTATGAGAATCCACATGACCTCGTCGTCGAATTGGATGTCTTGCCATTTTATGGCTACTAGGTCAGAGTATCGCAGGAATCCGGAGTACATGAGGATGGGTATCAACCCTTTCTGAAATTGCGCAGGATCGTCGGACTGCAAGTAGCTCGCGGCCATTTCCTGGACTTGTTGGATCGAGACGGGTTCCTTCAGACGAGTAGGGCGTGGGCAGTGTCGCTTTGCATAGTCACGGACTTGGGTGGTGAACGGTCCGGTTGTCGGGCATTTGCTCCCGGTCATGCGATGGGCGAAGCTGACCGCCGAGCAGGTTAGCTGCACTACGGACAGGGTGGCTTTGCGTCGGATTGCGTGTACCAGGTATAGCGCGAGGGTCATGTCGGATGCCGGGAGGAATGGAAGGTTCACTTTTGTGCAGAAGGCTCGAAACTTGGCCCAGTATGGTTCATATGTCCGGATCGTAGAATCGGCGCGGGACTACGCGAGCATGTTGATCAGTTGGTCGTGTAACTTTGGGAGCAAATCTGAACACAAGGTGTATATATTTTGAATTAGTCAAATGCCACTCGCAGTGCAATGATTGGGCTGTGCGGTAGTCCCATGCCCGAAAAAGCAGTTGAATGGGACCCTACGTCTAGGCATTGGCTTCCGTGTGTCAGAGGGATGTGCGCGTGGATGTGTGGTGCCCAAGTGCGTGGGGAGGGTTGCAAGAGTGGCCACCAGCTTGCGCCTGGCCAGTGCGGAACTATCAGTGTGAGTGATGCATGGGTGCGTTGTGCGTGATGGAGGACGGCTGGGACCAGTTGAGGTGGGGGGAAGGCGAAGTTGTTTTCAGGTGTCCACGCGATCGAGAACGCATCAACTGCAATGGCTGCCGGGTGGGGAATCTTTGAACAGAAGCGCGGCAGTTGGGTGTTGCGGGAGTTTGCGAAAAGGTCGATGGAGTGAGGGCCCCAACGACGTTCCAAGATCCGGAACCACGGCGTTTTCAGCGCGTAATCGTCGTGGTCGACCATTTTTGAAAGCTCGTCGGCGTGTGTGTTGAGCTCGCGCGGAATCCATTCAATGATCAAGCGCGTGCCAAGCGCCATGCATGTTCGGATGATGCTCTTGCATGCCGTTGTGAGGTCGGAGCTGTGAGAGCCGCCTTTGCGAAGGATGAAGAATACCCCCTGGTTGTCCACCCGCACGAGAACGTGTTTTTGCTTGATCTTGTTCGCGTACGTTTGTAGCGCCCAAAGGACGCCTTCGATCTCCCGTCGCGTGCTGGACGTTCCTCGTAGCGGCTCTGACATGGTTGCGCTAGCTTCTTCGATGCCACCCGGAAATGTGGTCAGAGTGGCGCCCCAACCATGAGAGCTGGCATCCACGTGGATTACCGCGTCGTAGCTGTTCTTGACGTGAAAAGGTGCGCCGTTGAAACGGTCGAACTCCTCGAGCCAAAATTGGAGCTCTTCTGCTGCAGATGGGGGGATAACGACGCTGCTTTTCCATGACGGTGCGTCGTCGATCACTTGTAACATAGCATGGCTGAATGCGCGAGCTGTCGCGCCAAGTGCGACACCCATCGATGCGAGCATGCCAGTGATTCTGGCCACGTGGCGGACCGGGACTGGTCGGCATGCCTTGCTTGCGCTCAGGAGGTTTCGGATGGTTGCATGTAGTGAGGCTCGTCGGTCCGGACCGATGGAGAATCGGCCGGTATCGGTCTCGAGTTCTACGCCCAGGAATCGGAGACGCTGTGATGGTGACAGTTGTGATTTCTTCGCGTTTATCACAAGGCCTGCCTCTTTAAGATCCAATATCACCCGCTGGCAAGTTGCTTGCGCGTCCTCTTTCGACTGGCAGAGAAATAAGATGTCGTCCACGTAAGGTACGACTCGGATGCCTTGTTCTCGCCAACGCCGAGCTAGTTGCTTGATGAGCTGCGTGAAAACGAATGGAGCTGTCGCGAGGCCAAATGGTAGTGAACGGAATGCGTATGTGCGCTTATCAAATTCAAAGCCAAGGAACTTCCAGCACGATGGGTGGATGTCGATGTGGTGGTAACCAGATTTGAGGTCAATGGAGAACATCCAGTCCCCAATGCGCGCGAGGTCGGCGACGCGGCTGAGCCCTTCGTACTTGAACTTGGGGATGATCAAGTTGGCGTTGACTTTCCTCAGATCAAGAATGAGCCTGCATTTGTCTTTTTGCTCGACCACGTTGAGTGGACTTATGCATGTAAGCTCCGTTGCGGCCATCGGAATTGCCGCTCCCGTCTCTATGAGTTCTTGGATGGCGGTACGTGTGAACGTGGCATGCGTGTTTGCCCCGACATGATTGCGATCGTGGAAATGTTGCGGTGGGCCGTGGCTCCATGGCAACCAGTAACCCTTGGCGATGACGGAGAGGACAAGGCTGCTGGGGCACCATGAGCTCCACCACGCAAATGTCGCGCGAAGACGACCGCGCATGTGTGTAATAGTTCTGTCTGTAACGGCAAATTCGTACGGATCGTCGTGGCATGCCGCCTCGCACCGTCGTGCTCCTGTACATTTGAGGCCAAGTGGTATAAGCTTTGAGTATTCCACGTTAAAGCATGCGTGTGCATGTACTTGTACGGGCAACCATTGATCGAAGGTGTGAAGAGAATGAAATGTCAACGAATGTGTCGGGAATGTTAACGCATGTCAACGCATGTCTCTTCTTCTCCTCGTTTCCCCCCCCTTTTTTTTTTTTTTTTTTCTTGCCCCGTCGTCCACTTGGTAGGACATGGTTGTGCCTGCCCTTAGTGCGTAGGGGCTGATGCCTAGGGCCATGGACACCGTTGTCCATTGTGCTTTCTCTCATTCTCTCTTATCTCTCTCTCTCTCTCTCCCATCTCTCTCTCTCTCTCTCTCTCTCTCTCTCTCTCTCTTTCTCTCTCTCTCTCTCTCTCTTTCTCTCTCTCTCTCTCTCCCTCTCTCTCTCTCTCTCTCTCTCTCTCTCTCTCTCTCTCTCTGTCTCTCTCTCTCTCTCTGCTCCTCCTCTTGATTTTCATAGTCTCTTTGCCAAAACCATAGGCCTTTAGGAAGGTAGTTTTTATTAAATCAACCAACACACATAGCAATGCTTTCCTAGCATGCCACCAAGTGGCCAACATATGGGACCGAGGGGTTGTTGTTCCCCTTCCCTATCCTAGGCCCAAGCCTATCCCACCCTTTACTAGGGCTGGCCTCTTGCCATCGCAAACCCCTAGGGTTGCCCACGGTTTTCGCACTCAAGAGTGCACCGTGCCTAGCGCCCAAGCGCCTAGTCTCATGGCCCGCTCCTACACCACCGGAGCGGGTCCCTGGCCTCCATGCCCGTTCCGAGGGCAGGCACTTGCCACGTGGCCCGGCTGGCCGCAGCGGAAGCATGAGCCCCGGAACCCACGGCAATTGGCCGTGGGCGGGGGGCCTCGCTTGGGTAAGAACGGCATCGGCCCGTTGTTTCCGCCGCGGTTGACACGAGCGTATCCGCTTGCCGCACGGTCCATCGCCGCCATGTCCGCGACCGCCTGCTTGAAGGGTCGAGAAGTCAGCAGGCTCTTCTGCTGGTACAGCTTAAAGCGCTTCGCCGTGCGAAAGTCGGAGGCGTCCTCCACTTGAAGCACCTTGAAACGCCCCGCGATGAGGTTGAGAGCGTGTGAGATGAGTTCGAGTCCGCCCGCCGGATCACCGCGCTGCGCCTTGTATTCGGCGTGCAGCAGGTACGCCCGCAGGTCCTCCAGTAGCTCCGCTTGCTCTCGCACGGAGTCGTTGACGAAGGTTGCCGCCGAGAAGGTAAGATTAGAAGAAGGGAGGGGGGGAAGGTTTTCCGTGCCAATAAAATTAACATTGTTGACTGGAGCCTCACCGGCTTCATCTTCAGAGTCGTCGGTGTCGTTGTCGACCGCTGGAGCAGGGGGAGCGGCAGTCGCTGCGTCGTTGTCATGCCGGTTCGTCCGTGCTCCCCGTGTGCCTTTCTCCTTTTTTGCTGTTTCTTTTTTAGCCGACGCAGATGCGGCGGGTAGTGCAGTTTCCGCGGCTGTAACGCTGACGGGTTGCTGCTGTAGAAGGGACAGCAGCGCGTTGACCTGGTCCGGGGTCAACGCCTGCGTCAGCGCAGGGGCGGCGGTCGCGTCAGACGAGGAGACTGCAGTCCGCCTCCTCTGACGCTGACGCGACGGTCCAGCAGTGGGTGCTGGCGTGTGCTCGGCGTCAGTCGCGTGTGCCGCGCCAGTCCCCGTCGCCACTTGCGCCACAGGTGCCACTAGCGCCACAGGCGCCACTGGCGCCACAGGCGCCACTGGCGCCACAGGGACCGAAGGGTGCTGCTGGGTTTCGGCGTTTTTGTGGACCTCGAGCCCGCCCAGCAGCACGTCCACTGCAGTCGGGGCGGAAGGTCCGTCTTCTGCCCGACGCTTGTTACGGCGTTCGCCCGCAGAATCGCGGGCGTTACGGTCGGAGTCGGAAGCGGGGGTTGACGAGTTCCCGTTGTTAAGTGTCGGCGTAGGTGCCATCGTTGAGCGATTGAAGTTGAAAATGTCGCTGAGTAAAGTAGAGGGTGACTCGCCTCTAGGAAGCGATTTAATCCTAGCCAGCTTGGAGGGAAAAACTACTCGAGCGGAAAATGTTGAGTGAGCCGTTTGAAAATTGAGAAACGTGGGTGGAGGGAAATGAGCTCCAACCCACGGTTTTTGTAGTTGGATAAGGGCGTTTAGCGCGCTTCGACGATGCCAATTGTGCAGTACAAGCAGCTTCGCTTTCACAATACACAATTTAAAAAAACACTACATGTGTGTTTAAAAATTATAATGTTTCCGAGTTCAGACAAATTTAAAGCCCAGGTACAGCATGGTAATTTTGAAGTTCAAGATTCTTGAACTTGAAATCGCAAAAAACAGGGTTACCCTACTTGTTTTGAAGAAACTCTCGCAACCCCAGGCAATCGTCCTGCGACAACGGAACCCGAGTGCCCAAAAACAGAACTGACGCGATGATCGCCAACCATATGCACTGTTCACCACTCACATAACTTGCTTACCAAGTTGTACTCATAGAGTAGGAGGCTCCAAGACAAAAACTAGCGCTAGTTGGCAAAAACGAGTCGTTGTTAGGGCTTTTTTTTTGTACGGAAAAAAAAATAGGTATCCACCTCAACCATCTTAGTCAGTGCACGCTCCGATTTCCCCCTCACGTCGCCGGTGTCGTGTTACAACCCGTTCACCCGCAGCACTTACGTTAGTGAACAATCGTCGCGTTACTCGCGCCTTGCTTTCAAGCTCGCGTCGCACAAGATGCTCTTTTCACACTTGCTGCGGTTCAGCCTCGCGTCCCGATCGTACCGTTTTAGGCACGGGTCGCTCACGCGAATGCCGTACAGGGTCGCTAGACGCACGCTGCCGTTAGTCTCATATGTTCCCCCTCGTCGGCCGCTCTTTCCCACGTCATACCGCTTTCCTCGTCGCACGCAATTTCCCTCATCTCCCTCGCCCACCCTCGCCGCCCTCGCCTCTGCTTGTCGCCCGCGTTTCCCGTCGTCGCCCTTGCTTCCCCGTCACCCGTGCTTCCCGTCGTCGCCCTTTCTTCCCCGTCACCCGTGCTTCCCGTCGTCGCCCTTGCTCTCCCGTCACCCGCGCTTCCCGTCATCGCCCTTGCTTCCCCGTCACCCGCGCTTCTTCTCATCTCTCGCTCTCCTCCTCAACGTCTTCGTTTTCCTCGTCGCCATAACGCCCTCGCTTCTGCCCGTCGCCCTCGCCTCCCCACATACCCGCCTCCATCTCCCCCACATACCACCCGCCTCCCTCCCCAGATTCTATTCCGCTTGTCATACGCTCTTCTCCTCTTCCTCCCTTCAATCTCTCCCTCCCTCCCTCTCCCTCTCTCTATCTCTCTTTCTTTGAACCTCTCTCTCACCCTTTCTTCCACCCTTCTTCCTCCTGAGGGGAAGGGACTGAATGAGAGACACAGAGGGGATAGGACAGAAGGGTATGCAGATGTTCTTTTCCCCCACGCGCTTCCCCTCATCGCCCTCACTTCCCCCAAATTATTGCCCCCTGTCTCTGTTTTTCCCAACCACCCGTTCTCCCACCAGCCCTGCTTCCCCCTTTGCCCTGATTCCTTCCACCCTCTGCCCTGCTCCCCCCCATCCCGTTCCTTGCTTCCCCCCACCCTTTGCCCTGCTCCCCCCCATCCCCTTCCCTGCTCCCCCCCACCCTCTGCCCTGCTTCCCCTCATCCCATTCCCTGCTTCTCCCCACCCCCTGCCCTGCTTCTCCCCATCCCCTTCCCTGCTTCCCCCCATCCCCTTCCCTGCTTCTCCCCATCCCCTTCCCTGCTTCCCCCCATCCCCTTCCTTGCTTCCCCCCATCCCCTTCCCTGCTTCCCCCCATCCCCTTCCCTGCTCCCCCCCATCCCCTTCCTTGCTTCTCCCCATCCGCTTCCCTACTTCCCCCCATCCCCTTCCCTGCTTCCCCCTACCCTCTGCCCTGCTCCCCCCCATCCCCCTCCCTGCTTCCCCCCATCCCGTTCCCTGCTTCTCCCCATACCCTTCCCTGCTTCCCCCCATCCCGTTCCCTGCTTCCCCCCATCCCCTTCCCTGTCTCCGTGTTACCCGTTTCCTTGTCCCTTTTCCCTGTGTCTCCCCACCCTCTGTTCTTATTCCTTCACCCTCGCACACCTTACCGCCTGCCGACCTTACTGCCTGCCCACCTTACCACCTTCCCTTCTCATCCGCGCGCAGGTGTGCCCGGAAGGTGCACGTGCTGCCTTGTGCCTGCCGCTTGCTGTCCACGCCTTCCATCCCACCTCTCCCAAACCACGTCTTTTTCTATATGTGCCTCCCCTGCTGGCCAATACCCTCTGCTGATCTGCGCCCTATGAGGCCGTGCCCTCTCTGTTCCCCGCCCCTGCATGTACGGAGGGATTGGGAGCCGCTTTACCTAGCAGCCAGCACTGTGCAGAGAAGGATTCGAACTGGTGGATCATGGGGCAAGGGTAAGGGAGTGTGTTGTGCGGCATGGTCAATGCAGAGTGGCGTGGGAGGGAGGCAAAATGGCAAGCACAGGGTGAAGGCAGGCAGGGGCCGTGGCAAAAATATGGAGATTGGCAGTGTCAGCAGGATGTGCGGCAGGATGCTGGCGGCAGCGCACGTCAGGGCATGTGCGGTGGGGCAAGGCTGGTCTGCACTACGGTGGGCCGAGGGAGTGCAGATTGGTGCAGGGAAAGGCACGACATGTTCCTATGTGGCCGGCCAAGACCCTTATGAGTTGCGGGATCTGAGCTTGAGAGTGTACGCTTGGAAATGCATTGCTAATGTGTTTCTTGATATGTAATTTTCATGATTCACAATTTGCTTTTCTATGCCAATTCAGCACTTAAATTTTATATGTTATTCTGAAATGAAGTCTCAAACTTATCCAAATATTTTAGTCGATTAGTAATCACAGGAAATATTGTTAACTGTACTGCTGAGAAGAAACAAGGAATGAATGAACTATGAATGAATTGAGTACAAGTACTAACCCTAATTGGGTTGTACCCCTTATGGGCTACCCCACTATAGCCTACACAATATGCATAAGCTATAATGTTCTGACACACCCCCATAGGCAAAGTAGGGGAGAACAAGGGGTCACAAGACCAGTCAAGCAAAGCAAAGCAAAGAAAGCTCAGGGTGGATCACAAAGTCACCACACATTCCGAGCACAAGTTTAAGGCCACAAGGCCAGTTCACATGCAGGAGTACATATATATAGAAAGCTAGACAAACAAGAGCAGGTGTATATATATGTAACAATACAAGCAAGATGAAGAGGTGAGCTAGTGAGACAAGACAGGCACAAGACGAAGCCGAGTACAGAAGCAGTGATGATCGCAAGGCGCAAGTGCCTTGGTGAAGATATCAGCAGTGTTGGCCTCAGAGGCCACGTACGCAAATCGCAGCTGACCACGCTGCTGCAGCTCACAAGCAAGAAACTAGCGGAGAGGAATGTGCTTCGTTCTGTGCTCCAGTCGCTGCTCCCGACACAAGGCCAGCATGGCCTTGTTGTCTACGTAAAGCACTACAGGAGAACGAGGCGGCTCTCCAAGGTCAGTCAGCAGGTAGGTGAGCCAGCGAAGCTCCTGTGCAGCCATGGCTCCTGCGTAGATCTCAGCCTCACAACTGGAGCCGAGAACAGAAGACGAGCGAGTAGCCCGCCACGAAACAGAGCCGGAACCAAGGCTGAAGGTGTAACCCTGTGACGACCGCAGCATAGCCTGGTCGTCAGCCCAAGAAGCGTCTGCGTGCCCAGTAAGGACCACTGGACTCTGCCCTCCAAGCACAAGCCCCATGCCCGACGTACTGCACAAGTAGCGCAACACCGTCTTCCCTGTAGCCATGTGCTCTGGTCTGTGTCTCCCACGAGCAACATAGCGTGTGAGAATGCTAAGAAGGTATGCAAGGTCAGGTCTTGTGCAGGTCATCAGGTACATGAGGCAGCCAACAAGCTCTGGGTACGGGCCACTCGACTCTACGGACTCATCCGAAGGCAGAGCTGAGAGCGAGTGGCCAATAGGCAGAGCTGAGACGGAGGAGGAGAGTCTGGCGTGTGAGTCGTCAACAACCAGCAGGAGGGGTAACTGAGACGGTGGTGCCAGAGGAGAGTCTGGTGGGAGAGTACCCGACACGAGCAAGACGATGCGAGCTGACAAGACGTAGACACTTGATTCGACGTAGCCACCTGACTCGACGTAGCCACCTGACCTGACTCAGCCACTTGTGCAAACGCAGTGGTCAGTGTTTACAGACTAGACCTAGGCCGTCGAGTGAACGTAGCAAGGTGACGGCCAGTCCGGGAGCATGTGCAGATGACTACACGCTGCCCTCCAGGAATAAAGGTATCAACCTAGACATCCTGAATGGCAGCGTTGCTTACCAAGTTCGTCGAGAACGTGGGGAGGTGGAGACCTGACAGAGAACCGGAGGGGACTGCTGGACACGGGAGGACAGTGGATGCTCGTGCGACTACTGGGCCCCCAGTGGGGTCAGCCAGTGAGACTGGTACCGGTGCAGCAAGTGGTGCGAGTGTTGTGCAGTCATGAAAGAAGCAACGTGACGCGTCTGAGTCAAGAGTGAAAGTGTGCAAAGGCCTCAGCTGAGGTAGGACTTGTGGCGGGAGACGCACGAGCACCTAAAGCTGCAGCAGACTCACTAGCACCTGGAGCGGCAGCAGACTCACTAGCACCTAGTGCGGCAGCAGACTCACTAGCACCTAGAGCAACAGCCTCTACAGAACCAGTGACACATCACTGAGAAACCAACTCACTAAGCTTCTGCGAAGAGAAGGTCTCTTTCTGACTTTGCTGCCGCACCTGTGCGGTACGCAGAAAACCAAAGCCTCAACCACCTGGATGGGCTTGCTAAAGAACTCACTCGATAAGTTGCTGCCGGGATAGCGTGTCCGGCTGAGGCAGTGGCTGCTTCTGTCCACCCCTAGCTGCTGCGACTACTGTGATAGTGGCCATGACAGGAAGTGGTAGTCAGTAGCAGCAGCGCAAGGGCAGTAGTAGCGTCTGCTGTAGTGACTGTGGAGGCCAGTAGAGTACGTGGACAGCAGGGCACATGCTAGCGCAGTAACAGCAGTAGTGCCAGCAGTGGCAGCACGAGCAGCAGCAGCACCAGTAGTAGCAGCAGCCGTAGCAGTAGTAGTAGCTCATGCAGCATCGGCGCGTTGGGCAGCAGGGCGCGCTGGCGCTTTTAGGGTTGCGGGGCACGTTGGCACGCTTGGCTGCAGGGCACGTTGGCGCGCTTAGGGCTGCGGGGCGCGCTGGGGCGCTTAGCAGCGGGGCGCGCTGGCGCGCTGGGCCGCAGGGCACGCTGGCGCGCTTCGCAGTGGGGCGCGCGTAGGGCTGCAGGGCGCGCTGACGCGCTTAGCAGCGGGGCGCGCTGGCGCGTGTAGGGCTGCAGGGCGCGCTGGCGCGCTTAGCAGCGGGGCACGCTGGCGCGCTGGGCTGCAGGGCGCACACGCGCGCTAGGCTGCGGGGCGTGTTGGCTTGTTAAGCAGCGTGGCCCGCTGGCGTGCGGGACGCGCTGGCGCGCTTAGGGCTGTGGGGCGTGCTGGGCTGCGGGGTGCGCTAGGGCAGAGGCTGCTTGCGAACAGAAGGGGCGCGCAGGGCAGGGGCTGCTTGCGGGCAGCAGTGGCGCACGGGGCAGGGGCTGCTCGCAGACAGCAGTGGCGCACGGGGCAGGGGCTGCTCGCGGGCAGCAGGGGCGCGTGGGGCAGGGGCTGCTCGTGGGCAGCAGGGGCGCGTGGGGCAGGGGCTGCTCGCGGGCAGTAGGGCGCGCGAGGCAAGGGCCGCTCGCGGGCAGTAGGGGCACGCGGGGCAAGGGCCGCTCGCGAGCTGTGGGGGCGCACGGGGCAGTAGCCGCTCGCGGGCTGTGGGGGCGCACGCGGCAGTAGCCGCTCGCGGGCAGGAAGGGCGAGCGTGACAGCTGGGCGGCGCACTAGGGCAGGTAGCTGCAGGGCAGCGCGACACTGAGCGAGCAGGGCCGGACAGCGCAAGGGCGCTTCGGGCATGAGAGAGCGGAACTATCGGTGGGCCATAAAAACCTATCAGTTTTCCTTCTCTGAATATCATGTCAGAATAACTATGCAGGAATGAATGAACTACGAATAAGTTGGGTAAAAGTACTAACCCTAAAGTGTTGTACCCCTTGTAGGCTAACCCACTATAGCCTAGAGAGAACACAAACGCATAGTTTGACAACAGTGATTGTGACTAATGCCATTCTCAACGGTTACCTGGTTGCATCGCGTAACCTCCGATACGGTTGCTGGTCAGTCAACAGTCATGACCGTTGACTTCCTATGACTGTTGACCTTCAAGTGACTTTCTGTCTGCCGCGTGCTCTATATGAGCTATTGTGGTACTACCGTATTCTCCGGGATAAAACACCCTAGGGTATTATGAAAACCACTGGAAAAAAATGGGGGGGCTCTCCTCAAAGGAAAATCCTATATAATACCCATGTCTTATGATATGGTATATTTTTTATAAAACAGAAAAGATGTGAAACAAAATCAGGGGTCTGACTTCACTTCAAGATTGTTGATCAATGCCGCAAAACTGAGTACGAGGATATTGTGGGCCACTTGGGCCACTTCACCTCTTGGACCACTTGCAGTGGAAGATTCGCCAGCGTGGCGACAACGAGATTTTGGGATTCACCAGCGTGGCGACAGCGAGATTGCGGGAGGGGGGATATCTCGGCTGATTCTAAGTGAAAGTACATGCGAAATTTCTTCTAGGGAGTGATTTTCGCGATATCCTCCCGTAAGGAATTGGACTCGATAACAGCTATAATAGGAATCTATAAGAAAAGGGGGGTGTTATAGAGAATCACCCCAAAAAGGGGGGTATAGTACTAACGGGGTCGGATATAACACCCACCCCGTATTAGCTACCCGGGGGTGTACAATTACGGGGGGGTGTTTTATCCGGGAGAATACGGTAATACCGGTACAGCAGTGCTGCTTCGTTATGGAGAAGTACGCTCGGGGAGAGTCTTTACAATAACCTTTCGATTATTCCAACACAATTGGCCAGCTCAGCGTTCCCAAGACACTATAATAGAAGTGGACTACGCGTGTAAAGGTTTTCTCGTTACACTATTCAAAGACTTACAATAAAAAGTATATGCACATAAGGTAAAAGCAATGTATCGGTATTAGTACTCTGGCCTATCCAGCACAGGCATATGCAAGCGGAAGATCTTGCTGAGAAACACCATGTTTTTTTGCCAAAAAGCCGCTCACAAACTCCACCTTTCCCTTCTCAACAGAATTACTTCTCCTCACCTTGGCAACAGATGCCGCATGCGTTTCCACACAAATCATCCTGATGACATCGAATCCCTCTTCAGTGAGGGACACTGCTTCCAGAAGCTTCCAGGCCCAGGATTCGGAAGCATTGTCATAATCCTCCCGGCGCTTGCACACGACATGACCAGCAATTTCAAAAGACGCAGGGTTCACTAGAGTGTCAAGGAGCTCTTGGCTAATCTCGCCCCTTGCCTGCCTCTCTGCATATCTCTGCAAAGGGAAACGGAGGGGGAAGGGGCGGAATTAGATCAGCTTTAAACAACTGAGCAAAAAGGCATAAAAGAAAACGATAGATAACATCCAGCCTCATAATTTGACAGGGAGACACCATTTCAGGATGAAAAACGCAGAGGAGGAAACGACTAACGACACCACAATGGTCAAGGAGAATAAACGCACCTGTGGAATGAGGAACAGCCGGGTGCCTCTGTCAACGATAAACAAGTTCAAGGGAATATTCCTTTCCTGGAGCTCGCAGCATGCCGCCGCAGCAGCTGACGCCATCTGCTCGAGGCACGCACCCGCCTGAAAAACCAGCGTCTTCACCGGGTAATCAGTCAACTCTTCAACCTTGCACCCATTTGTTGAAACTGCAATTTCCTTCGAAGATGCACACTCAATGGCAAAGGGCAGGTCGAGAAAGTAGGCCTGGAAGTGCAGGTGGTTGATTGTTGCAAAGGCGCCGAGGCTATTGTATCCGATCCTAAAGGCAGGTTCGTTGACTTCCGAGGCTAGCCGGAGAGCCATGAGGAGACTCGGCTTGTCTATACGTTGGGGAATTGTGTCGAGAATGCGGGGAATCAGCAGCACGTGGCCGTAGTCAATGGGAGACACCTGAGGGTAACAAGAACAAGCACAAACGGAATGAGTAAGCCCACAACTCCTGAAGGAATGTTCACAAGCATACAATCCCACTGAGAGGCTGCTTTTGCTGGACCTTAGTGACATCAACAAACTTTTCAACTTGGAAGGAGAAACAAAAATTGCTGGAAACAGAATCTCAAGGATTGGATTTCAATCTAGGCTTACATTGATGGCAACGATGCTGGGGCTCTCCTCTTCCCCGCCTTCTTCAAATCGGAAGAGCATTTCGTTCTGGCCGGCCTTGGTGAAGTTGAATTTCGAGGGGTCAAACGGCTGCAACACCTTGTCCATAGGGAATTCGGAGGGGCGCTTCTTGGAGTGCCGCCCCTCGTTCAGCTGTGCAATGAAGCCCAGACGTCCCTCGATAACCTACACCATGAACAACGAAATAACCGCACGTATAAAAGTCATTGCAAAATCCGGCAAATGCCTCTTGCACATTCACTTCATGTTTCCCTACGTACAGCAGTCTGCACCTTTGGATGCAATGCGTTGATCTGCTTCTTCCATCGGACATACCTTTGACTCGCACGCCGTCACGTCGTAACGGAACAACCCTTCCTGGAACTTCCTGTTCCACTGAACACGGGAGGAGAAAACATCAGGGAAGGGGAAAAGGAGGGGAAAGGGTGGAACAACAATATCAGGACAAAACACCACAGAGCTCTCTAAAAGGCAACGAAACATATATGCTTCAGGACCATCAAATACGATGAGCTTGCAGGAGGTCCTACCTCGGAGGTGATGTGCTTGCGAAGCGAGAAAGCCGCCGTGTCTTGGTCGTCGTCGTGAATGTCGCTCGCGCCGCCGGACGATAACGACAGCGAGTCGTCGTCCGACGATGACGACAGCGACTCGCGGATCCACTGCAGGTCGTCGTACGACGCGAAGCTCGAGGTGCTTTCCGAATGCCTGGATCCTGAGTCTAGAAACCCGGGTTGGGAGGCATGCGAGCACCTGGAGATAAAGACATGGAAGCAAGAGCACGGAAGGTGAAGACATTGAGAGTCACTTTTGAGAATTCGCAGAAGCGAACACCAGATGAAGACATGGGAGCAAGAGCACTGACGCTGGGCGTACGCTTACAGGCACAGAATCAGCATGCAACAATGCTGAAAGAGAGTTCGTAGGAGAAAGGATATCAAGCCTCTGAATGTGGGGTCTGGACTGAGCGCGAAAGTAAACCAGCGAACGAGAGCAGGCTGTTAGGGGAGAGCAGCGTGTAACGAGACTCCCCCCTGAGGGAGGAATCTGAACGTGGGGACTGGAGGTGGTATCGGGAGGTGAAATCGAAGGGGGGTAGCAGAGCAGGCATTCAGTGAGCGGCAACTTTTAACCAGGGTCGGGAGGTGGGGACGTACCAATGGTGCAGCAGGTATTTAGACAGCGGCGACCGCAGCCCGCGGGCTGGTCCCCCTCCTGGTTAGTCTTCGTCAGCATCTTGACGTGGAATTTCGGGATGGACGACGACGAATGAGCCGCGACTGACTCCCCCACTTAACGGGTTAAGCTGACTCCCCACTTAGGCTGTTCCGTAACAGGTCACCTCCTTAAACTGCACGTCAGGGAATTCCAAGCAGGCTAAACAGCGACTCGAGCGCCTGCGGCTCAGTCTGCTACGAACACGGGGAGTGACGCCGCTACCACTACTATTCCTGACAGAGGATCGCGAGCCGAAACGGGACCCAGACACAGCCCTGGAACGTGTGTGCGTGGTAGTAGTAACGGTTTCCCCGTGTTATCCGCTGAAACGCGGTAGCCAATGTGTGGCTCGGACGGGAGATCTGGAGCGACGGCAGTGCAATCGCGAGTGGCCCACTCCCCGGGGAGTCACAAGCAGCCGCTAATCTGAGTAACGCGCAGTCATCTCTCCGGATCTGCCCGGCAGAGTAACGGGATCTCTCCCGGATCTGAGCAACGGGACGTTGATCACGGCGACGAGAATCGCAGACGCGGCGGCGAGAGATGGCTGGGCGTGCTCGAGTGAAAGGGATCTCAAAGCATCAGCAGCAGCCTCCGAATGTGACTTCTCCCGTTCGTTGCACTCACCAGGGAGGTCAAAATTGAAGGCTTCAGGAAAGCGTGTTGGTGAGCGGGAGGTGGTACGGGGAAGAGCTGGGGGGAATGTTGTAAGAAACGAGTAGATGGTGATCGGAGACTGTGGTTGCTGCTGGGATGTGGATGGATGTGTACAGTACTACGAGTGGATGTCGGGACGAGCGGCAGTTGGCGGGACGATTTCGTCAAATCAGGTGGCAGGCAGGAAACATAACTAACGCGGTACGTAGCGGTACGTCGCGAGGAAATGAATGGATCCTTTTTAGCCGTTGGATGCACAAGGTGTCCTTTCCGCAAAGGTAAGTGCACAATTTGCACATTTTCGCACGTCTCGGATCATGGGGTCGTTATTGATTGGGGCCACTCGTTTCTTGGCCGGGCAGAGCGGCAGAGTAGCCGGAGCAGTAAAGCCGAGCGCGCCGGTCGTGCAGCCCGAGCGGCAGGGCGGGCTGCAGTGCCCGGAAGGAGGCCAAGAAGCGTCCGAAAGTGACATGACGAGCACATGATTCTCGACATGACGGTCCAGAAATGTCCTAACATCTAACCGTCCGAATTGACATCGGAGAGCTGACATTTGTCCTGGGATGTCGACGACTACTTCAGGCAACTCTGCCGACCACAGTGGTGGCCTTCAGTCCCCAGGTGGGGAGGGAGAGCTCATTCCTGACCTAGGATTTCATTTCTTATACGATAGGCGATAGCTCAGCTTCATCCTTAGTCCAGTGGGTTGCTGAAGAATGGCATCAATGCTTTGTTTCCCAACAAATACAAACAGTTTCACTGAAAATAATCATTGGCTCTAGTAAAAAGGATTAAAAAACGGTCCTAGCGAAGGACCTGCTCTTTATCTGGTTTGAGAATATATCAGATAAATTCGTTGTGCATGTAAAAAGACATGGGTGGTTAGAGAATATAATCGAAGGAGAGTGCTAATCCCCCTCCCAGACAGAAGATAGGTTAATTCAACATGGTACAGAGCAGGTCCTTCGCTAGGACCGTTTTTTTAGGGCCCACCACTACCTACCTACCTACCTACCTACCTGCGCCCTAGGGCGCCTCGTTTTTCACGGCCCCCTAAGGCCCCGCGACCCACCCCTTATCGACTCGCGCGCCGCCCCTTAAGGCCCCGTCGGCCCAAGCACTCGCCCCTTACGGCCCCGCGCTCGCCCCTTAGCGACCCTGTCGGCCCCGCGATCGCCCCTAACGGCCCCCTCGGCCCCGCGCTCACCTCCCTAGAGGCCCCCGTCGGCCCCGCGCTCGCCCTTAGCGGCCCCTTACGGCCCCGCGCTCGCCCCTAGAGGCCCCGAACGGCCCCGCGCTCGCCCTTAGCGGCCCCTTACGGCCCCGCGCTCGCCCCTAGAGGCCCCGAACGGCCCTGCGCTTGCCCTTAGCGGCCCCTTACGGCCCCGCGCTCGCCCCTAGAGGCCCCGATCGGCTCCGCGCTCGCCCTTAGCAGCCCCTTATGGCCCCACACTCGCCCCTAGAGGCCCCGAACGCCCCCCCCCGAACGAGCCGCCCGACCCGAGCAGCCCGAACCGAGCCGCCCAGCCCGAACCGAGCCGCCCGAACCGAGGCGCCCGAACCGAGCCGCCCGAACCGAGCCACCCAGCCCAAACCGAGCCGCGCCGCCCGAACCTAGCCGCGCCGCCTTTCCCGAGCCGCGCCGCCCTACCTGAACCGAGCCGCGACGCCCAACCGAGCCGCCCTACCTGAGTCGCACTGCCTACTGTTTTTGGGGTGCCCCTACTGCTATTACTCCTACTACTGCTATGGCTAGCTCTCTTGTGCTAGCTTTCGATGCTGAGGGCCGCCCAGTGAAGTTCGAAACCTGGCTAGATGGCCTATACCTCTTCCTACAGCTCACTGCCAAGGAGGACATCTCACTGTACGATCACGCCCTAGGCCATGCTCGTGCTCCTGCTGCTACTGCTGACAGCACTGCCCGCTCACAGTGGCAGACTCGTGACGCCCACACTCGCTTCGCTATTCGCAACTCCCTGCCGATAGATGAGCGCGAGCACTTTGGGCAGCACAAGACCGCACAGGCACTGTACACTGCTGTCGTTGCCCGCTACTCCTCACCGGCCTCTGCCGCACTAGGCCGTCTCTCTCTTCCCTACCTGTTCCCCGACTTAGCCTCTTTCCACACAGTCGCTGACCTCATTACGCACCTCCGCACTAGTGAGGCTCGCTTCCGCGCCGCCATGCCTGATGAGTTCCTTGCCAAGAACCCACCCCCACTCTGGCTCACTCTCTACCACCTAGTCACCCGCCTCCCTGACACTCTGCGCTCAGTCAGGGACCACTTCCTAGCTCGCTGCCCCACTGAGCTCACCATTGCCCTTCTTGAGAACGAACTCCTAGCAGCTGAGGCTAGCATAGTCGCTGTAGGTGCCTCTCGTGGCGACCCCCGTACCCCGTTCTTTGAGGGGTGTTCTCCTTCCCCCCTTCTTCCCTCTGTCGCCTCTGCTGCTGCTGTCAACCTCCTTGGTGCTGAAAACGTTGGGACTGCGTCTGCTTCAAGCGGGCGCCGCAGCGGCAAGGGCAAAGGGGGCGAGGGCGGTGGCGGTGACAGCGGGGGAGGCGGTGGTGGGGGCGGTGGCGGCGGTGGGGGTGGTGGCGCGACTGGAGGGGCTAGTGGCAGCGGTGGGGGTGGTGGCGGCAGCGGCGGGGGAGGTGGCAGGGGCGGAGGCGGTGGTGGGGGTGGCGGTGGACGCGGCGGCGGCAGGGGCTGGGGTGGTCGAGGAGGTGGCGGCGGCGGTGGTGGTCGTGGAGGCGCTGGCGGTGGCCAGGGCCAGCAGCACACTCCGTCGCCCCACGAGGTCCGTGAGTGGTACTCTCAGCACGTGGGGGGGGGGGGTGGCTTAAGCTGCACGTACATCATTCGCACTGGTGACCGCACTGGTCAGCCGTGTCAGGGACCGCACGCCACACAGCGCTGTTTCGCTCGTCTCAATGACGCTTGGCGTGTTCAGTTCCCTCAAGCCACTGAGCTGCCCCGCTGGGTTGATCTCCTGAAGAAGGGGATTGATATCTATGCTCTAGACTTTGATGCTATTCTCACTGCTATGTATGTGATGTCTACCAGTGGAGAGGGTGCTGAGTACCTGTGTGTGCCGCCCGACCCGGGCATTAGGACTAGTGCGTCTGCCGCTCAGCGAGCGTTTCCACTCGGAATTTCCTGTCCTGCAGCTTTCACTCTGACAGAGGTGGTGAGTTCTCCTCCGACCTCTTGGCAGCCTACTGTGCTGAGCACGGCATTGAGCAGTTGTTTACGCTTCCGGCCTCTCCACAGCAGAATGGGATTGCAGAGCGCCGCATTGGCCTGGTCATGGAGGTCGCCCGTACCTCCTTGATCCATGCGGCTGCCCCCCACTTTCTGTGGCCGTTTGCGGTCCGGTACGCTGCGCATCAGCTCAACCTCTAGCCCCGTGTCTCCTTGCCGGAGACCTCGCTCACGCTGCCGTGGACGGGGGAGGTTGGCGATGCGTCGCGTTTCCGGGTCTTGGGGTCTCGAGCTTTTGTCCGCGATTCGTCTGCGGACAAGCTCTCCTCCCGTGCTGTTCCCCGCGCCTTCCTCGGCTTGTCCCGGACGCGTCTGGTTGGCAGTTTTACCACGCCACCTCGCGCCGAGTCTTGCCCTCCCAGGACGTCACTTTTGACGAGTTCGTCCCCTACTACCGCCTCTTCCCCTACCGCACTGCCCCGCTCCCTCCCCGCCTCTCTTCCTCGCGCCAGGTGCTGCTGTTGCAGACCCCCTCCCCCCTCAGGGTGCCGCTCCCTCAGGTGTGTCTCAGGTAGACCCGGTTGAGCCTGTTGAGGTAGGTGTCGACTCTCGTCCTGCTGTGGGTGCGGAGCCTGGGGGTGCTGAGCCTGGGGGTGCGGAGCCTGGGGGTGCTGAGCCTGGGGGTGCGGAACCTGGGGGTGCGGAGCCTGGAGGTGCGGAGCCTAGGGGTGCGGAGCCTAGGGGTGCTGAGCCTTGGGGTGCAGAGCCTGGGGGTGCTGAGCCTGGGAGTACTGAGCGTGGGGGTGCTGAGCCGCAGAGTCCGGAGTCTGGGGGTTCTAAGTCTAGAGGTCCTGAACTTGAGGGTCCTACACCTGGCGAAGCCCTCTCCTCGGAGCAGCTGCGTGAGTGGTACTTACAGTACTGCAGCCTCAGGAGAGGTAACTTTGGAGCCAGGCGTACTACTGGGACTGGTGCTAGTGCTTCTCCTCCTAGCCGGGAGCTCCCCTCCCGTGAGCGGATCCGTGAGTGGTACGAGCGGGGTTGCACTCTTCGGAGTGGCGCGCCTGGTGTCGCGGACCCCGCTGCTGCTGGTGGTGCTACTGGTGCTGGAGACTCTACTGGTTCTGCTGGTGCTGCGGCCCCAGAGGTTGGAGCTGTTTCTGGTGCTCCGGACCCGGGGGTTGGAGCTACGGCTGGTGCTGCGGACCCGGGCGCTGGTGCTGCTGCTGGTGTTGAGGACCCAGGCGTTGGAGCTGCTGCTGGTACTGAGGACCCGGGCGTTGGAGCTGCTGCTGGTGCTGAGGACCCAAGCGCTGGTGTCTCTGCTCGTTCTGGAGTCGCTGCACGGCAGCGGACGTACTTTGTTCCGCTCCTTCAGCAGGTTCTTGGTCTCCTGCCTTCTCTCGGTCCTCCTCCTCCCTTAGAGTGTCCACAGCCTGTCTAGTCACAGTTACAGTAACAGCCCGCCTCCCCACTGCCTGCTCCTTCTCCCTACAGTGGTCCTACTAGAGGTCTTGCCGAGCGTCGTGAGCCTGCGTCTCGCCCTGCGTCGCCTGTCCGTACTGCTCGCACTAGTGGTTGCGGTTCGCGTCAGCGTCCTCCTCCTGTCCCTGGCACGCACAGGATGTCTCTACGTCCGTCCATTGCTCCTCTGCGTGCCCCTTTGCCTTCTTCTCCTGAGTCCTCTCTTCCTGCTCTTCCCGACCCGGAGTCGGACTCTCTTCGTGCTGCCAGTCCTACTATCACGCGTCTCCTTGCTACTGTAGTCACTGACCCTTCTTTTGAGTCCACTGCTGCGTCTGCCCTAGTTTCTGAGCTCGTCGACTTTGCTGCTCGCTGTCATCTAGACTACGCTGCTAGTCTTGTCGCTGAGTCTGAGCTGTCTATCCTCCGTCCGTTGGGGGTGAGTGTGCCCTTGGCACGAACGTCCTTGAGGACACGCAGGAGGAGTTCCAAAGCTCGGCCGCTGCTTCACCTCATCTCGTGTCCGTACTGCTTACCCCTGAGGGAGACCCGAATGCACTTGACATCCTGACTCCGTGCTCTTACGTGGAGGCGATAGAGGGTCCCTACTCTTCTCAGTGGCAGGCAGATATGGATGCACACATGGCTTCCTGGAAGTCCACAGGCACCTACGTTGACGCTGTCCCCCCTCCTGGGGCGAACATCGTCAGTGGCATGTGGATTTTCAGGGTGAAGCGGCCGCCGGGTTCTCCTCCTGTCTTCAAGGCACGTTACGTGGCTCGTGGCTTCAGTCAGCGGCAGGGAGTTGACTACTTTGAGACCTTCTCTCTCACCCTGAAGATGACCACTCTTTGGGTACTACTGCACGTAGCTGCTCACCGTGA